CGGTACTCTAGGCATCGTAACCGATCGTAAAGGATGTCAAGAACCAAAATCCGCCAACGTTGATTCTTTACTGCGGATGAAATATTCATTTTTAGAGCGTTAGTGAATTAAAAAAAAGCAATATAAGAACCGGAATGTCCAACTGATAAGGCTGAACATTTTTTCACTTGTTATTTACAGTAAGATAAATACATTCACCAACTTTTATTAAAATAAAACCATTTAAACTGGGTGTTCGGATTTATATGTCACTTAGTATATGTCTGCGGTTCATCTACAAATGTCCAGCAAGAATTTTTGGCTCAGAAAAGAGTCAATAATACATATTCTTGTGAAACATTTATGAGCATTTTAAGATTTTAACTTGGCCATTTTGTAGAGAACTCACATTTGGGGGGCTGATGAGAATAAATTTTACGAGCTTCGCCTTACGAAGGTTTTTTGCTGAACGAGAAACGTTAATACAATACGTCAAAGAATAACAAGAATGATGTGACGTCTTATCTAACAACATACGGCGACAGGCTACTTTTCTCCTCATCCCGCGGGAAAGGCAGGATCCATGGTAGTGCAGTCGTGGCACTGTTCGCCAGATAAGGTTATAGGTAAATAATTTTAACTTGTATTGGATCAGACAGCTGGAAACTAAAATATGTCTTTTGTCAATATAAAATCCACGCATTTCCAATAGGCTTCCAAATCAGTGAGCAGATATCACTATTCCGTCTTTCGAGTTTGTTAATTCTTGATTTATTTGTGTGTTTGTTTTTAACATATATTTATTTTGTGTTATTTTATTAGTTTCTACTTTGGCTAACCAAAATGCTAACATTATTTTTAGAGTAGTAATTGGATCAATTATCACTGATCAACAGCCAAAAAATATCCTAAATAAAATCAACAAAATATTACTATTTTTAATGTGCTAAAACCGGAATGAAACTTATTTTTTCAATATTAGTTCCAGTTTTAGAGATACGGTAATTATATGTGTTCCTGCTGTGACAGTGTTAATATACTGTAATTCACAAGAATGCACGTGCTACATTTTTATATTCGGCAAGGAAAGATGATCGGCATGATTGTGTTTCGTTATACATACGTGTACATTATATTGTTTTATATTAGCCATTTTTTCCTCAGTTGGCTGACAGCGTTCATGCAAGATGTCTCGAAAGTGTGTAAACAATACAGATCAGTTTTGTTACGTGTGTGGTGATGTGACTTTTGCGTCTCAGAGACGGTCTATTACTCCACTGATAACAAAGGCATATCAGCCTTTATTTCGGTTGTAAACTAGGTGATCAAGACAAACAGTGGGCACCCCACATCTGCTGTAATACATGTGCTTCAAGTCTGAAGAGCTGGTTAAATGGCAAAAAGCCGTCTATGCGCTTTGCTGTCCCAATGGTTTGGAGAGAGCCTACAAATCATATTAATGATTGTTACTTTTGCATGGTACCTTGTGTTGGACAAGCCACAGGTATGTCCAAGAAAAAAAAATCGGTTATTAACTACCCAAACATACCATCTGCGATGAGACCTGTGCCTCACAGTGACGAAAATCCTATTCCAAAACCCCCAGAATCCTACACTTGCGAATCAGAAAACGAATCAGATTATGGCGATCGAGTGATTCGTCAGGAAGAAGATATGCCATCAACGTCAAGAGATCCTGATTTTATACCGAGCACGTCATGCCACCAACCGCACAACATAACACAGTCAGAATTAAATGATCTTGTAAGAGATTTAGAACTTCCAAAATGTAAGGCAGAGTTACTTGGATCAAGACTGCAGCAGTGGAACTTGTTAGAAGACGATGTTTCGGTATGTGTTTTTCGTAAACGCCACAAAGACTTAGAACCATTTTTCAATATGGAGAATAACTTGGTTTTCTGCAGTAACATTAACGGCTTACTGGCAGCTTTAAATATAAACTATAACCCAGAAGAATGGAGATTGTTTATAGACAGTTCAACATTGAGTTTAAAGGCAGTGTTATTGCATATTGTAAATATTTTACCATCTCTTCCTGTAGGGTATGCAGTTTACATGAAAGAATCATATGACAATATGAAGTACCTATTGACATACATAAAATACGATGAGCACCAATGGCATATTTGTGGCGATTTGAAAATTGTTGCACTTTTACTTGGGCTGCACCTAGGCTACACAAAGTTTTGCTGTTTTTTGTGTGAATGGGACAGTCATTACACCAGACAAAACTGGCCTGTTCGTCAATTCCTAGAGCCAGGTCAAAAAAATGTACAGCAGTAGATTCGAAAAAAATTTTATTACTACCACTGCATATCAAGTTGGGCCTAATGAAAAACTTTGTCAAGTCATTAGATAGAGATGGGTCAGCTTTTCAATACCTGCGTCAGAAATTTCCAAGACTAAGTGAGGCAAAGGTTAAAGAAGGTATTTTTGTTATGCCACAGATTTGAAATATTTTGAAAGATACACAGTTTGAAAACACTTTAACAGGTAGGGAAAGAACTGCTTGGAATGATTTCCGTCTGGTGGTCATTTCTTGGGAAATAGAAAAGCTGACAACTATAAAACCCTTGTCAAAAATATGCTGTCATCGTATCAAAAGATGGGCTGTAATATGTCTCTTAAGATACATTTCCTACACTCACACCTGGACTTTTTTCCTGACAATTGCGGAGCCGTAAGTGATGAGCACGGCGAACGTTTTCATCAGGATATTTCAACAATGGAAAAAAGGTACCAGGGAAAGTGGAATCCTTCCATGCTTGCAGACTACTGTTGGACTCTTGGTAGAGATGCTCCAGAAACGATCCATAAAAGAACAGCAAAAAGACAGCGCATATAGTGATTCTTATAAATATATGAATCTTGTTACTTTTTTTAATATATCCTTAAAAATAATAAGTTCTTTTTCTAAACCGCAACTAATTTTTTTATTTCATTTTCATTTTTGGATTCAGCGCCCCAAACTTAACAAAGAAGCGCACTTTTCCCACAAGACACAATTAAAAAACTAAAATTTTTTGTCCAGTGTTATATTTATCTAGGTCTTCTCTTAGGCCATTATAATTGATATATCGAATTTCTCTAACAGAAGTATTCGCATGATGTTCTACCTTATCTACCCTAGGATTGTGGCTTAACGATCAGTTATGTGATTGTACAAAACCTTGGAAACACAATTTCTCTCAAAATTTATCAAATTAGATTACCATGCGTTCTCGTAATTTTATTTATCATAGATACGAGGTTGTGTTCGCTCGAGATATTTAGGTAATTGTGCATGTTACTATTCAACTCATTCAACCTCAAATTCATGTAGTTGGAATATTTTAATACTTCCAACTTTTGGCCATGTTTTAGGACCTTCGTGCCACTATCAGCTCCTCCGATGTCACGATCCGGATAAAGTAATAAATCACCCCCGAGCATTTGCAATCGCGTAACGTTTTCGATCGAAAAGTTCATACACTCGCATGAGTGAAAAAGTTTGTTTGGACAGTTATATAAATGCAGAGGATTTTCAGCACCACTCATGAATTTTAATGTTCAGGTCTCGGTTTGGGGTGTGTGTCACGGATATATTAGCAGGAATGCCCCAGCCGTTTTTTTGTGCGGGACAAGGCAAGCCAGACGTTTTCATATAAACTTTTGATATTTAATGCAACGTAGACAAATGTAGGTGACATTGAAATATCTAGTTCGGTTTATGTCGAGGCTATAAATGAACTTTACGCAGCCCAGAATAATCTTCTGTATATTATTTATAGAATATTATATTATGCCGTTGTTGTTGTGTAGATATGAGGGATGTGCTTCCCAACCTAGTCAGATTAGACTGGATTAACGAGACGCAGAGACGTAACCAGCGCTACCTTGATATGGAGGAACTATACAAACCTAGCTTGCGGTGCTCATGGTTACAAAACCATTATACAGGATGATTAAACAAAGAGTGGCCATACTTCTACGGCGGAAGACTCTAACAACTCAACAAATAAATTAATATTGTCGCGATCGAGGAACGAGACTTTTAGGAAGGTTTACCATGGAGGCTGGGAAGTCCAAGATGAAAAGCAATTAAAACGGTGAATTTACGAAAAACAGAGAAACTGATCTGAATTCCGCCTCATGAGAGACACCTGTATCGACTCATGTCTTCAATTCTGAGTTATGCAGAATACCTCATTTTTCGGCACCTATTCTATCTACTTCCTTACCATGTTTTTACATGAGCTCTCTAACAATATTATGGCAAACTTCCAGCAATTTGGCACATTTCGGCACTGTGTGCTCAAACAGGAAACAAAGCCTCACAGTTTAATCTCGTAAAAATAACGTTATCATATTCCGTTTTCGAGGGAATTGGAAATGCCCTCCGTAAATTCAATTTTCTCCCATCCGGAAGTCGTTATTTTTTCTTTATGTAAATCAACTATCAGCTTCCAGATCCACGTAGGATATGATGCTTTATTATTTTCACATAGAGGGAAAGTAAGGAAGAATTTGGTGATTTATTGGGGAAAACTTTGTAATTCGTAACAGATATCATGAATGATTGGGGTTGGTTGGTCTCTGAGGTAGGGATACTAAGCGATTGTTCCATAAATCTTGTCAATTTGTATCAGACTGGCTCATCCTGAAATATAAAATACTAAACTTTTCACACCAATGGGGAAACTGGGAAGCCCTATTGTATTTATGTTTACAGTAATTATTGTGCCTTTGTTGAACTACGCATAAAGAAATCTACGTGTCTGCTAGAAAGTACAAACACGTTGCAGATACTTCTAGAAACTATACCCTAGAAATGTTTGTGACGTTCTAGACTTAAGTATCAATGAAAGGCTTAGTTGGACTTGTTCTTGATACTTATCAGCATAAACCTCCAGGAGCTCGTTATCATTATTAAAATCCAATCGGCTTTTAAGCCAGTGTATTGTTTTTTTCTATTTTTAGATGTTGTAATCTGTTCTATAATTCCTAATCAATCAACAGATATGAAATGCCTAGATAAGGCATCAATCTTATCTGAAATGATTAAAGGATCGCTTTCGATGCACTTAGTACTCTAGACGTCGTTGATCAAAATAAAGCATTTTCGAGTGCGACATTTCAAATGAAATTGTAACAAAAAATGCGGGATGAGTATGACGAAGTTCCACTAGGTGAAGATACAACGTGAGTAGGCTTTATATTCCTGAAATTTATCGTGAAGTACACTATATGAGTACTCGTATGTAGATGTTTTTACCCTTTTTTATGTTATATCAATGCCATCCACAGCTTGATGGGCTCATAACAGTTTCACTTTCCTTAAATGGTCGCTGAATATATGTTTTTTTGACTAGAGGTATACAATCCATCGTATTTTCATTTGGGTCAGTACAACGTTATAGTCGCGAATAAAAAATTTACAACAATCACTGACTAGGGCACACACCAGTAGAATGTACAGAAATGCTGTTCGTGCTCTAAAAACGGCTCCAAAACTTGACGCCAGTGTACCAGAGGTGCTTTGACAGGGTTGCCATATTGGAGGATTTTCCTTAAAATTTAGTGGATTTCTACTGAGGACTCTTGTGGGAATATAATGGTTTGTGGGATAGAACAAAACCGACACCTATCCGTAAATTAACTGTGATTCAGGGGATTTTTAGTTCTTGTGCTCGTTCTGTCCGCCGGAAATTGTTAGTTATTTGTAAAGAACTGTGAGGCCCTTTGTACGGCGATGCGTAGTCGCTGTTTGGAATTTCTGCTAATCTCAAAAATGCCGGTGAAAACCTCAATGTTTCCTCGAACGACCAAAAAGATTTATTGATTAGTCATTGGAGATAAGAGAACAACAAAAAAATGTTCTAGGCTCACATTTCTAGTCGACCCTGGAGGGCTGAGTGTCGAATGAGATGTGGAGATTCAACTAACATTTGCACAGATTTTTAAAAATCTCAGAAAAATTTAGAAAATCCTGAAAATTTATAATTTGTAAAACTTGAAACTTTGTAAAATGTTGAAAATATAGAAAACTGAGCATCTTAAAAAGGTTGGATGTTTTCTTAGAGATATTAAAAATTTTCGAAATTTTCAAATTTCCAAAATTGTCAAAATTTTCTAAATTTTTGAAATATTAAAGATTTTCAAAATTGCCATTATTTTCTAAATTTTCGAAACTAAAAAATCACAAAATTTTCATGATTTTCAAAATTTTCAAAATCTACAAAATTTTCAAAATTTTCAGAATTTTCAATGTTTTCAAAATTTTCGGTTTATTGAAAATTTCCAAAATCACCATAATTTTCAAATCCTTCAATGTATTCGAGAAGTTTTCAAATTTCTAACATATTCAAAATTTCCAACATTTTTCAAATTTTTCGGAATTTTCAGCATTTTCAAACTTCTCAAAATTTGCGATATTTTCAAAATTTTCAGACCTTTCAAAATCCTCAAAAATTTCAAACTTTACAAGATATACAAAGTTTTAAAACTTTCAAGTTTGAAAATTTTTTTTTGAAAATTTTTTAAATTTTCAAAATAGGTACCCAAAATTTTTATGATGCTCAAAATCGTCAATATTTTCAAAATTTCCTGAATTCTCAAAATTTTTTATATATTCATAATTTTAAAAATTGTACAAACTTCCCGGTATTTTCAAAAAAGTCCAAGATATTCAAAATTCTTTAGATATCCAAAATTTTCTAAATTCTAAATTATCGTAATCTTAGAAAATTTATGAATTTTCGAAATTTTCAAACAGTCCAAGATTTAAAAAAAAACAAAATTCACGGTTCTAAAGCTCTTGATATTTTTTAAAAACCTGAAAACCGTGAAGATTTAAAAAATTTAGAATATCCTGAAAATTTCTAAATTGAAAATTGAAAATCTAGAAAATGTTGAAATTAGAGAAAACTGAGCATCTTAAAAATGTTGGATATTTTCCTTAACGATATTGAAAACTTTCAAAATTTTCGGAATTTTCTAACTTCTCGAAATTTTCAAATATTTCTATATTTTAAAAATTTTCAAATTCTCAAAACTTTCAAAATTTATAGTCTGAAATTTTAAAAATTTTAAAAATTCCCAATGTTTTCAAAATTTTCGAAACTTTCAAAAATAAAAAAACGTTCATGATTTTTAAAATTTTCAAAACTCTAAATTTTCAAATTTTAAGACTTTTCAATGCTTTCAAAATTGTCGCTTAATTGAAAATCCAAAATCTCCATAATTTTCACAAATTTTTCAATTTTTTCGGTCTTTCCAGCATTTTCAAACTTTAAAAATTTTCGATATTTTCAAAATTTGCAAACCTCAATATCCTAAATTTACAAAATATACAAAGTTATAAAACTTTCAAGATGAAAAATTTTTGTGTTAAAATTTTTAAAATTTTCAAAATACTCAAAATTTTTATGATGCTCAAAATTCTCTATAGATTCAAAATTTTCTAAATTCTAAGTTATCGTAATTTTAGAAATTTTCGGAATCTTCGAAATCCAAGATTTAAAAAAAATCATAATTCACGGTTCTAAAACCCTTGATTTTTTTTAAAAACTTGATAACCGTGAAGAGACCTGTTACAGCCTAGTGAAAAATTCAAATGCTAAATTTTCACTTGAGGATCATTCAAGGGTGCGTTATTCGTTCATCATCCAAGGGCTAACGAATCCCCTATCGGCGCTCGGCCCTCAAGGGCCGACTGCAAATGCGGGCCTTAGAAAAGATAAGATCTTGAGTGTGATTTATAGCTATTAAAACACAAGTTATTAACCTGTCAGGTTGGCACCTCTAGCTTTAGAGTCCTACAAGCATGAAATTAATCCTTTTTCCTACCACAAATACTCTGCCCACCGTCCGATCGCAGAACTTTAGGGGGTTTTTGCACCTAAAAGACGTCTAAAGTACTTTCGGAGGCATAAAACGAAGTCGCTTCCCTTTCCAAAAGACTAACATTAACTATAGTACATAACGAAAAATATGTCATTGCCCAAATGTAACGTACATTTCTCTCCATAAATTAATTGAGGAGTCATATGCTGACACACGATATTATGTGTATCGTATCTACCGAGAATATGATGCGTGTTTTATTTCAACAAATGGGGCGCCCGCCTTTGTTGGTGGAATTCAATAAATTCGTAGACACCATTGCAGCGTTTCCATTGTGTAGTTTGAAAAATCTGCTAAAGAGCTGGAAATAAAAGCACCTAAAGAACAAAAGAAAATTCTCTGGAGAAATAGGTGTTTCCTTTAGGGCAGGTCCGTAAGCGAAGCATTGGCTTAGCATAAGCAACGAAATAACAACCTAGACATTATACTGACACCGTAGTGAAGTTCCTTTATGCATTTATAGAGACGAAAAGCAGCAATGGAACCTCTTCAAAAACATACCAAGAGAGACAGAATCGGCATCTGCTGTCGAATCAAAGCTATTAGAATTCGGGATAAAATGTTTGAAGCTTGCAACTATTGTTATAACATTTTTTGTGGTACTCAGCACGGCGGTCGTATCAAAAGGCACGCTTCTTTTTATGGTGTCGCAGGTGAAGCTAAATACGTCTAGACAATTCTGCAATAAAGGATTTGGAATAGGTAACTACATACATACTGATATTTACGGCCCAAAAATACCATGCAGAGTGTTTCAGAAAGATGTGCCAATATGTCTAAGGTACAAAGTACAAATACAACAAAGAAGTTTTTGTAAATACGGGTCCAAAGATACAGGGTGATCAACTTATTACGATTATTCACGAAATTTAAAAAAGTATAAATTATTTCTAAGCCACTGGCATTTTCGAAGAAAAGAAGTGCAGTTGGAGATATTTATGTTTAAATTTTTGAGGTAGAATCTTAAAATATTCCGATGATTAGGTTTAGCCTCCCCTATTCTGAAAACAGCGTGGCGCTTGATATTGGAGCGTCTTACCCTCAATCAGTAGCGTAGAAGCTTGCCATTTATTGAACGCCACGTACGCCACTGGTTTTCATCGTATACTTTTCCTGGTGCTACCCATGTTAGATTCTTGTGTTTTTATAAAATCACAACTAGTAATTATGGAAGCAATCGTTTGGGTAAAATTCGTATTATTTTACTTCTGAAATTATCTGAAAATTCTTTAGCGTTGTCGATCAAGTGATCTGAACAAAGAAATCCCAAACCGTTATCGTTTCTGAGACACCCTGCATATTTTTTTGAAGGATCTTTCACACAATGTATCTGAGCTAGCGTTTCGCGATACGTAATTTAAGTAAGCCATAAATTTTTTACATGTTGCATGTAAATACGCCCCAAAGAACGCAAATCTTTATTAAATTAACCTGAGCTATATCTCAGAAAGGTATTAAAATCCCCATGCATAGGATATATCTATTTTAGGAAAGATAGATAAAGATCTGTTACATTAAGGGCCAATTTCACTATCATTTGACGGTCACTTGGGCCAATGGGAAAACACCTTATCGTAATGCAATTTGACAGAAACTGTCAAAGGTCTCTGAATATCAGTGATTTCTATTAAAATATTGAATAAAATCGTGAAAATTCGATTGTATTATAAACAAGACAACTTTTTGATTCCAACATGATGCTTTTGTACAGAGAAAACAGGACAACTTTCATGTATTTTGATTTCCTTTATAAATTTACATTTAACAATCCGTTATCCCGAAAGCCAATGGGAATGCGGCAAATAATAGGTCGATTTTCTAGCTGTTAAATTTAATAGCAGGTTGGGACGTTTGTATAGCTACATACCTGTTCAATAGCGCGTATTTGTCCGTATTTTGCAAGAAAATAGAATATAAAATATACTAAGTGACATATAAATCCGAACACTCAGTCTAAATGGTTTTATTTTAATAACAGTTGGTGAATGTATTTATCTTACTGTATGTAACAAGTGAAACAATTTTCAGCCTTATCAGTTGGACATTCCGGTATTTATACTGCTTTTTTTTAATTCACTAACGCTCTAAAAATGAATATTTCAGCCGCAGTAAAGAATCAACGTTGGCGGATTTTGGTTCTTGACATCCTTTACGATCGGTTACGATGCCTAGAGTACGGAGACCTGTACAATTTCGTCAACTTAGTGAGTTTGATAGGGGCCGTATAGTGGGACTTCGGGAAGCTGGACTTTGTGGTTAGGTGTTGTCAGGCATGGATTCGAGAAGGCCGTACGCAAAGAGCAAGGGGCACTGGACGCCGCCGTAGAACAACAGACCGTGAAGATCGCCGCCTAACATTATTGGCCCTAAGGGACCGTTTCTCCACTACCAGGTCCATTACAAATGAATGGTTTGCAGAACACGGAAGACCGATTGGCATGCGAAGTGTTTACCGACGAATGAGAAGTTTTGGCTTGTTTTCATACCGGCCACACTGGGTCCTCCCTTTAACTCGAGAACACCGACGTAATCGCCTTGAGTGGTGCAGACAACGGTCACTCTGGGATCAGGAATGGAACAGTATTGTCTTTAGTGACGAGTCTCGATTTTGTTTAGGCATGCACGATGGTCGTGCCAGGGTTAGAAGGCGACGTGGTGAAAGGAGGAATCCACAGTTTTTTGTCGAAACACGTGTTCATCACACTGTTGGAGTTATGGTTTGGGGTGCTATAGCTTATGGTTCCAGGTCACCTTTAATCTTCATCAGAGGTAACATGAACGCGCAGCGTTATATCCATGAAGTTCTAGAACCCCATCTTTTACCCTATCTTGACACCCTGGCAGATCCAACTTTCCAACAAGATAATGCCCGACCACATGTTGCAAGAGTCACAATAGACTTCTTTCAACATAATGATGTCACATTGTTACCATGGCCACCAAGATCTCCCGACTTATCCCCAATTGAGCACGTGTGGGATATGATGGGAAGGAGATTGCTCAATTTACAACGTCCTCCTCAGACTCTAGAGGCACTTCGAGAGGAGTTGGTGGTTGCCTGGAATGAGATACCACAGGAGGACATTGACCACCTGATCAGAAGCATGCCTAGGCGCGCTGGAGAATGCGTAGCACATCAGGGTGCATCCGCACATTATTAAAGGTCAAAGCGCTTTAAAGCAGTGCAATCATTTCGAAATTTTTATCATTTACTCATTATGCTTCGTTAAGTACTTATACAAAATTTTATTAAAATAAAACCATTTAAACTGGGTGTTCGGATTTATATGTCATTTAGTATACATTCCTCATCTTCCTTTACATCACAATAGTAATCATTTATTAATTTATGCGTTAATGAATTTCTTCAAAGGAATAAAAACGTTATTTAGTCTCCATCCTAAAACACAGATAATATGTCTAAGACGATTCAATCCCTACATCTCCGTGATGCATAATGCAATTACCGTGGACATAGACAAAAAATTATAAAAAATTTCTCACAAATAATGTCTTTTAAATCCAAAAATCATAAAAAATGATAATGTTTCTTATTGGATTGCCTTTTTGACTGGCGGAGATATCTATCCGTCACTCGCAGGGTTGCCAAGTCTAACGGTGGTGACACTTCATATTTTACAGTGTTTTGTTTTGAATACTTTGATGCTATTTGCTGCCAAAAACTTGACGGAGAGATCTTGCGGCTGATTGGGTATATTTAACGGACTGTTTGGTACCCTATCGGTGCAGAAAAAAGCGGTTTGTTAAATTGTGAAATGCACCCTAAATCTTGGAGTGGCGTTTACATTTTGTTGCTCAATATTTTTAGATGACAGACAGCAGTTCTTCGTAACACTACCACCAGAAGAAACTACAGTGTGGATATGGACGATAATCTTCGCGTACTGGATCCCTGAGATCGGCACATTCATAAGATCATTGAGAATAATTTGTTTCAAGCATTGGGAATATCCCAAGGCAGTTGAAGAGTTCCTGCGACTATGCTTCGTGGAACTGTTACCTGCCATAGGAAGCGCTATTCTGGTCTTTGTGGTGTTTCCGGAGCTGGATGTTATCAAGGCCGCGATGCTAACCAATGCTGTGTGCTTTGTTCCTGCAGTATTATGTATGTATCTTACACTAAAATGATTTCTCATCAATAATTTGTATGTATTGTAGCACTGTTTTCGAAGAGGAAGCACAAGCTGCTGATAGTGCTGGACATACTTGCGATAGTAGCACAGGCCAGCGCGGCTATAGCTTGGCCGATATTGGAGAATAAGACTGAGCTATACTTCATACCGATAGCAGTATTATTCATATCGATGGGATGGGCTAGAAATTACATGCCCAAAGACTGCTCCCTTTTTTGTGGTTGGAAACAGAAAGAGCCAAATGAAGACCAAGCCGATGAGGAAACGCAGGAGCTTACGATGAAGCAACCAGATAAGAAGAAAGGGACAGAGAACGATATGTACTTCATGTATCTCTTCATAGCTCCGTTTAAGTGTTTGGTCTTTCTTATGGTGGCTGTGTTGGCTATATGGATAAAAGAAGGAGACGCGACGTTCATGTTCGACCTATTTGATGATGCTTTTCGGAGACACACGCTCGTGATCAATGAGGTGAGTGGTGATGACAATTGAGCTTTCATGCGTAAGGAAGTTCAGAAAGTGTTCTGTGATTCTATAGCCTGTATATACAGCAGGGTCTTCTCCATTTTTTTCCATTTAATAATAATAATATTTATTTACTCAATGTACAAAGATAACAAACAATATGAGTAAATAAATATGAAATCAAAACAGGCCCAATAGAAGGCATCGCCTGTACATGGACCAATAATTTAAGTTGAAACTGTAGAATGCAAATGACAAAAAAGGACAAAAATTAGCTACAGTAGATTATGTATTTAGTTGATGTTCGTATTTATGAGTTTATGAATTTCAGTCCTAGATATAGAATGTAGCCACTTTTTTAAATTTCTTTTGAAACAATTTCCGAAACGTAAATCTTTTAAGTCTTTAGGTATAATTTCATAAAATTTAGGCGCTAAATAGAGATATGATCGCTGCATTATAGATTTATGCGGTTGAGGAACTACTGTGCCACGAATTTTGTACCTGGTATAATGATTATGTTTAATTTTTTGGTCGGTGTTTACAAATTTATGGAAGTGAGTGATACTGTGTAAGAAATAAAGCTGTCTTATATCATACATTCGAACATCTGCATATAATTTTTCAGTAGGATAAAGTTTCGGTTTTTTAAATATCATTTTTAGAATACTTTTTTGAAAAACATCTAAATTATAGATATGTGAGGAACATGCAGCTCCCCATGCTAATATACCATATGTGAGATGAGGCTCAATCAGTCCATGGTATAATGTTCGAAGATATTTTTCTGTCAATATATTCCCAAGGTATTTAATTTTGTAGGATACAAATCTAACTTTCTTTAAAATATAATTGACATGGATGTCCCATCGTAAGTGAGGATCCAAGACCACTCCAAGGTATTTTATGTTGGGCACTCGATTAATTTGCATTTTTTGATCATTAATATTGAAGGAGAAATTTGTGTAATTTGGCAGATGTCTAGCATAAGATCCAAATGGTAAAAAATGTGTTTTAGAGTAGTTAATGCTTAATTTTCTACTGTCAAACCACCGAATAATTTTGACAAAATCATTTTCAATTACATTTTTCAGATCAGACCAGTCAGTG